CAACCAATTTTTCATCACAATCAAACAACAAAATCCAAAAAACAATTTCATCACAATCAACCAATTTTTTTAATTTTTTGCACCTGGGTTCCTTGTGAACCCAGCACACTTGGGTTCCTTGCGAACCCAGGCGCTGGGTTCGCAAGGAACCAAACCGAAGCGTGCTGGGTTCCACCGAACCCAGGCATGCTAGGTTCGGTGCGAGCCTAGGCAAGCGTCCTTGCGAACCCAGCACGCTTGGGTTCCTTGCGAACCCAGGCGCTGGGTTTGTAGTTCGCAAGGAACGCGAACCCAAGCAAGCGTCCTTACGAACCCAGCACGCTTGGGTTCCTTGCGAACCCAGCCGCTGGGTTCGCAAGGAACGTGAACCCAAGCAAGCGTCCTTACGAACCTAGCGCTTGGGTGGGTTCGCAAGGAACCCAGGCCTGCTGGGTTTCGAGGGGAAAGAGAAGGGAAAGGAGGAGAAAGAAAAGAAAAAAAGATTAAAAAAAATTTTTTAAGTTTTATTTTTTATAATATTTTTTTATACTATTATTTTTTCCACGTCATCATTTTTTTTACTATATTATCTTCCACATGGATTACTATATGACTTGTCATCTGGTAACTGTGAAGTAACAGGCCACGTCACACAATTTTTAACAGAATGACCAAATCGGGGTAAAAATGGTAAACAGTAGGAACCAAATTAAGGATCTTTTTAGTTCATGGACCAAATTGGGGGTCCGTACAATAGTTCAGGGACCAAAAAAGGCTTTTAACCTTTTTTTTTTTCTTCATAAAGAGGTGTGCGAACCAATGAAATATTCTTATTTCTAATAATGAGACACAGAAAACTCCCACTTCCGCTCGCGTACCAGCAGTTCTCCATTAACATTTGAAACTTACACTACTTACAAACAGCATATAATCGAACAATCAAAATACTTTCAATTATACTTGATTAATTGACAAAAATTCTGTCGATTATAATAAAGTATTGATTATATTTATATAATCAACAATTAATAGTAACTGTCAATTATACAAACTATAATCGATAACAATTTTTGTTGATTATATCCGATTATACAATGTATAATCAACAATCATAATGACTGTCGATTATACTTTTATAATCGACAGTTTTTTCTGTCAATTATATAAGCATATATGTTAATATTTAATCTTCTACTAGTAATATTTATAAATATATTATATATCTCATAAATTATAAATTTGATAATAAAAATTTAAAACTATCAAATGTAAAATTATTTTTAATTAATATTTTATATATTTTATGTATATATAATAACTAAGTTAACTATAAATATTTAGTATTAAAATTGATAATTTAATCAAAGTATATATGTGTATAATAGTTGTTAAAAATAATTTTACATTTAATAACATTACATTTTTATTACTAAATTTATATATAATATAATCGACAGACACCATTAGCTGTTGATTATACTTATATCTTGCCTGACCTTGCCAAAAAAAATTGACTTTCGTGGTGTAACAAATTCAAATTATAACCAACAGAGCATAATCGACAGAAATGTTGTTGATTATACTTTCTTTATATATATGAAACCAGAAACAGAACTTTCAAGCATTCTTTCATCTCCTTTTCTCCAAAATTTCTCATCCTCCTTCCTTTCTCTACAAATGTGTGCGTCCTTTCTTCTATTCTACCTTGCTTCATCTTCTCTCTTTTCTTTTACATTTCTAAATCTTTGATTGTCTTTATTCTCTTTTTTTTTCTTTTTAACTTTCTTCATCCTCCCTTTTCCCTAAACTCTACCATTTTAATTCTTGATCTTTTCCCTTTTTAGCTACCTCTTTTCTTCTTTTTTTGTTGTTTTTACATTACTTCACCTTTTCCCTTCAATTCCTTCTACCTTTATGTTAATTTTTTTTTCATTTATTTTAGTTTTTATATTATTCAATTATTTTTATTTGATCTAATAATATATATATTTTTTTACTTTTGTAGGTTATTAAGGTTGAAATCATATTATGAGGTAATTTCTAATACTACTTTTGATTTATACTTTCAATTTCTTTTTTTTTTCATTATTTTCATAATATTTGCAAAATATTACATTTTTTCAATTAGTTTTTGTAGATACATATATATATATATTACTGCAACACATTGTTGTTTTACATATATTTTGGTTAATATTTATAATTTAATTAATAAATATAAAATTATTTTTTTAATTTTTTTAAAGTCAGATATTAACATAATCAACAACTATGCCAGTCCATTATATATGTATAATCCACAGATATCAGAAAACATTTCTATCGATTATACTTATTTTTTATGCACATTTATTTGATTATTTTTTTCTATCATTATACCTATAATTGATAGAATTTCTTATATAATCGATAAAATTTTCTATTGATTAAAAACTGTTTTCTATTAGTGTTCTTTAAAACCAACAATGGCAAGCACCGAGCAGTCATAAGCTAGGTTGCTGCGTGACCAGCATCGATATATACACATCATGCACTTTATTATTAATCACCCTTTCTAACGTTTAATGGAGCACTTTTTGAGTTGGAAGACCTCATGGATGAGGTAGCCGGTCGGGATTTGTCAAGAAATGGGTTAGTTGAGTCTCCTCTGTGTCTTCACAAACTTCTTACTTACAAAAGTGATAGTTTTCTAATATAGGCGGACTGTTAGTGGCAATTAGTATTTAGTAGGTTCTAGAATGCCACCAAGAAGAGAAGGATTAAAGGTGTGTACCAACTTACATATGGACAAAGTTTGGGACCATGGCTAGTTCCATATTCTTTCAGAAAGCACCTTTTCTCCATGTCATTGGTGATTCACCACCATGTATATTTTTTCTTTTCGTTTCTTTTCTTTTCTTTTCTTTTTTTTCAACTTTAGAGATTCAATAATGGTATGGTCTGATTGCATTAGACAATAATCAGATTGATGACACAATCAAGAAGTTAGATTAAAATTTTCAACATGTAATTATAATATCAATTTTTCTGACCGAGAGTGATTAATAATATCAATTGCGGCTTTCTTTTAAGCTGGATGATTCTTCTAGATAACTTATGGGTTCCATACTAAGCTTACCTAATCCAGTCAAAAAAGCAAGTTGTCCGTGCGCCTATTAGGACAACACCAAGAAAAATAACCTCATCAATCATGTTGAATCATTTTTTTTTAATAATTTAATTACTTTAATGATAACTATTTTTGTAAAAATAAATAATTTTAAGTTTGAATAATATAAAATACATATATAATATGATTAAAAGATAAAAAAAAAAATTTCTCTCATTATACAATTTAAGATAAAAAAAATGAAAAGCAAAAAAGAAAAGGAAAGATGCAACCTTGTATGTGAAATACCCTGTTTTTATTTATTTATTTTTTTTGTTGAGAAGTGGAGAACAACTTATGCCATGTAATCTAAAACATGTAAACTGCAAAAAGATGCATTCTAATCCAATTTTATTAGAAAAGTTCCATCTCATTGATTTGTCTTCTACAATTTGTGGGATTGTTTTGGTTGTTATAACTTAATAAAAGCAGACATTAATTCATTTCATTTAAGTAAAAGAATTACACATTACTGATGATGAAGGCATTCAAATTAAGGTAGAGTGAAGAGAAAAACCCAGAGCAAAACAGAGTAAGAGATTAAGGTGAACCAGCCATTTCAGTAATTGAAGGAACAAAGTGAAGAGGCTTACAAGGAATGTAATCATGCCACGTCTTAGGACAGAACCTCGGATGGAGAAAGAACTCTACACATTCATGTATTGGTCTCTGGAACGGAAGATGCGGAATGCAGTTGTTCCTAACATCAAGCACTCCTTTTTTGATTTGAAACCAACACACAGGCCCAACAAACGTAAAATAATTATTAGACAACGATAAATTTGCTAGATTTTTCAATCCGCACACCACCTCGGGTACAATCCCGTACAGAAGGTTTCCGGCGAAGTTCAACTCCTCCACCTTATCCAGACAGGCTAACGATAATGGAAGAGGACCAGTCAACTGGTTGTTTCCGAAATCAACCACGACTGCCTCTTTTAAGAATCCAACTTCGTATGGCAGACAGCCTTTTAACCCGTCGTTTAAGAAAAGGACTTCGGTTAAAGAAGACAGAGCTTTGAAAATGTTCTCCGGAAGTGTGCCGTTGAATTGGTTGTTGGCGAAGGTGAGGTAACGGATTTTGGTCATGCTGATAGTACCCGATAGCTGGATAATGAAATCGTTGTTGTTGATGAACAGAGCATAGAGATTCTGTGCAAATATCTGAGCAGGGACCGACCCTTTAAAGGAATTAAACCGAAGGTCTAGGAACTCCAGCCCATTTACTCCGACTACGGCTGTCGGAAACTGACCGGAAAACTGGTTATTACTTATGTCAAGCTCGAAGAAATATGGAAGTTTAGCGATGTTGGGAGACAGAATACCGGTGAAGTTGTTGGAATTGGCATGAAACACAGCAAGATCAGGGAGCTGATCGAGGAACCCATCTAGAGTCGGGGCTGCGAGATGGAAGCCATTGAAATCAACGGAAGCAAGGGCTATTGCGGAATTGTTGTCGGGTGGGTTGTCGCAGTAGAATCCTGTGTAATTGCATATATTGGGGCCCACCCAGGTTTTGGTGATTCCCAGAGGATCGGATGTGATTGTGCATTTGAATTTTTGGATTACCGGATAAACTATGGCTAGTCTTCGATCGGTAAAATTCAAAGGCCATAGTTTGGAATAGGGATGTGGCCCTACTCTGCCACCAGAAACACCATTAGTGATCCGTAGGGGTTCTCTGCATGCACCATGACCTGATGCGTGGAAGATGAAACAAGGAAGCAAGATGAAAAGAAGTGGAAGTGTGGTGGAGATGCTCATAGTGTCTGTTTGCTGTTTTTGGAAGGGGAGAAGGGTGAAATGAAGTAGGAGAAGGAGAGAGCAGGGAAGATAATAAAGAAATTTGCCAATTGAGAATGATCTGGGTGTTGTACTCCTTTTTATAATAATGTTTTGTTGTCTTTTTTTAATTAAAGTGGCTTTATTGATACCGACCCTAAAGTGGAAAAGTTGTGCATTAGTCCGTGCTTCATCGAAACGTAGATGGGAGGAAAGTGATCACATGAATCAAGGACCTTTGAAGGGAAAAAGAAAGTCAAGATTTTTTTATCCCAAAAAAACAAAAGGTGTATGGTGAAGGAAATACGAGTGAGAGACGATTGGAGCAGTGGGCCAATGATAGTGTTATATGCTATATGGGACTCGGTATTGGGCCACATCGTGATTCATCAATCTCTTTTTCCAACTTGTCGGGTAATGAGAATTCGCAGAAGTGGGGAACTAAGAAGAAAAAGAAGAAGCGGAAAACATCATTTGAGCCCATGTTTTGAGGCCCTGTATGTACACATATCCCCGTTTCCTAATGGCCCGGTTATGATTACTTATGATAGCCTCATAGCCCCATCTCCATTGCCATTATCAGAATCTGTTTCAAATCCATTGGGCTTCTGAGCTTGCACAAAAATTATAAGAAGTCATGTGCTCAAAATGAAATCTCACTTTCGATTATGAAGATGGAAAAGCAAGTTTTAACATAATTTTGTTGATATTAGGGAAGGGAGCGCTGTAGGTTTGAAACACGGACGTGGAAAATATGTATTTTATCAAATGAGATATATGCTGCTATTTGTTAATAGTTGATCTTTGAAGTAATTATTTTGAACATTAAAAAAAAAAAAAAGGTACTAGCGAACACTTTCTTTAGCATCTTTCTTAATCCACTTTTACCAAGTAAGTCACGAGGTAAATAGTTTTAAATTGCAAACAATAGATTAGTTATATGGACTATATTTATTCAAAACTTAATGTAATATGTGAAGATTAAGGGTTGTATATCTCAAAACGTAGAGGGAGGACAAGTGAAACCAAAATGGCACAATCTGCACAGTAATACCCATTAAATCAGTTGATCTTAAAGAGACCGTATTATTCACAACATCTCTTATTAAATTTTTACAATATGTTTAAGTTGAGGGGAATGGAGAGAAAGAGAAAAAATTTTTTTTCTTCTATTTGGTTATCAAAAAAATTGAAAGGAGAAAAAAGAAAATAATTTTCTTTATTTTTTAAAAAAATTGATCAACTTATATATAAATTTTACATATTTTATTTATATAAAATATTAACAATTTTTCTCAATCCAATCATAATGTAAAAGTAAAACTCAAGCTCTCTATCTTACATTTGAAATTGAAATTGAGGCCATATAAGAGGACCAAAAGTCCACAATCAATAGATGATCAAATGTATAATAGATTCACTACAAACCAAAAAATGCAGAATGCTTTGTCAAAACCCAAAACCGCAATATACTGGATTTGATTTCTCAACCAAAACAGGACCAAATTGATCCATTTTCAAGGGATAGTTGGTTAGTTGTATGTAAACAATACTTGTGATGAAAACGGTAAGAGCAGTGCTAGGGGCACTCGCCTCTTGCACTCTCCGACAACACTTCCCCTTTCATTGGGCCACGTAAGCTTGTTTTATGCCGTGAAGTGCAACTCCTCACGAACCAGAATAACGTGGCCCAATAAAAGTGAAAGTGTTGGCCGGAGAGTGCGGGAGGCGAGTGCCCCTAGCACTGCTCAAACGGTAATACCCATTAAATTTTGTTGTACTTCCCAAAACGTAGAGGGGGCCAGCGAGGACACGTGAGACCACAATGGCACAATAAACACAGTAGTACCCATTAAATCTTGTTGATCTTAAGAGAGATTGTATTATTCACAACCTCTCTTATTATATTTTAAGAGTAAAACTTAAGTTTTTTCTCTATGTTATATACTTGAATTTGAAACTTTATGAGAGAATTAGAATTTCACATTCAATAGATGGCCAAAAATACATCTTAGATTAACTACAAACCAAAAATTCAGGATTCTTTGTCAAAACCCAAAACAGCAATATACTTGTTTTGATTTCCCAACCAAAACATGACCAAATTTATCAATTTTCAAGGGATAGTTGGTGAGTTGTATGTAACAGTACATGTGATGAAAACGGTTACTCTTTTGAAAAATGGAAGTTCAAGATTCAAAATTCAAACGTATGAAAAGACTCGAGAAAAATGTGTCTTGACCAAACCTGTAGGGGAATTCTATTCCCCTTTTATGTTTTAACCCATCTGTAATATTCAGAAGGGCAAACGATTATAATTTGAAATTGGAAATAGTGGGGGACAGAACATGATCCCCAGTTTGACGTACAATCATTCGCCCCCCATTTTAGCTTCCGAAAACACTTACAGATTCCCCACCATTTGTGATTGCAAATAATAATTAAATAATTAAATAATAATTTTTTAATTTAAATAACATAATATAGAAATATAATGATAATTTATTTTTTTATTTAAAATATTTTGAATTACCAAATAAAATAGAACGTACGCAACAATTACCAAATTGGAAACCCAAAATCCAAATACTAAATGCCGTCATCACCACCACCACCACTCCATTTCCTTTCCCTCTTTCTCCGTCACCCTCCACTCCACTCAACATCAAACATTAGATAAATCAAGGCATCAAAAGGGTCAACCATTCCATACACGACATATACTCCAGATTTTCCTTCTTATCTCCTCATTGACTCCAAGGGCCACTTGCCCATAAAATAAATGCACCATTTCCTTAGTGGACATTGGGACAAAGCTAAGTGCTAGCTAGCATCTTTACCAAGATCCACCACCACATATATTCATCCACATATTATATATCCATCCATAAGGACAAAAAATAAAAAAACTGGTAATAACATTTAAAAAATAGAAACAAAACCATTTCCACTACTTGATTCATTCTTTCTTTTCCTTCTAAACAAAGAAAAAATTGAGGAACAAAACCAACGATTCTTCCCATATTGTTTTTTTTTTTTTTTTATAGGTTCTTCTTTAAACAGCCGTGGCGTACCCACTAATCAATCTTTCTTGGACACAGGAGCCCAGCGGCTGCGTTGACTATCTGAGAAACTCTACTGTGCATTTAACGGCTTTGATTGAATTAAATTCTTGATGAGTTTTCCACAGCCGTCTGATGGGGCTGTGGAGAGACTAGGATGATTCCAGGACCATTGCCGCCGGTGTTTCTGAAATATTTTGCGTGTGATTGTGATCGCCTTCATAGGTTACGATTAGCATCATTGGATCATCCAACGCACGCTCCACATGTTTCCTTGCCGGACAGCCCCGTACGCTGCTGCACTTGTAATAACCTCTGAAAATTTCAAATCAAACGCAATGAGTTAGAATATTGTACATGGCTGAGTCAACTCATTTGCCGATTTAGTGTAAAAGAATAAAAAGGAAAGGAAAAACTGAAAAAGAGTCAAAGACCATTACTTCCCCCAGTCCCGTCCTAGACTGTGACAATGGAAAATTAGTAGGAGTTGAAAACAAAAAACATTTAACACCAATTTTTGAATTACTCGTTTGGGTATTTTTCATCATCAATTCGATAGAAACAAGAACATGTGAAATAGTTAAAGAAAACAAATTGATTTTGATTGATTGTAGATTGTAGAGTGAAAAACACACCTTGGATGAGGAGAACCTTTGATGGGTTTTTGACCGTATTTTCTCCAGGAAAAATCATCAGGAGGGATATCAGCCATCTTGTTGCTAATTGCAGGAACTCGAATCACTCTTTTTACTCTTAATTTCCTGCATATTCAATTCGATTTCCAGATCAGGAAAAATAAAACTTAACTGAAATCGGATATGAATTGGGTATACAGAAATGGGTAGTTTGAAGGTAACATACCTTTTCTTGGAGCAATGGCATCGGCCTGAGGATGATCCGCACTTGAGAGCGGTGTCGTCCATTGAATTGCACTTTCGTTTTAAGGATGAGGAGAGGGGGGGTTTACCGGAAGATGGAACATGCGAAGGACTGGTGAACTGGAAGCCGGAAGAGAAGGATGGATGCATGCTGTCGGTGTCCCCTGTTAATGAAGACATGAAAGAATTTGCAGCGGAAATGGGAGGAGAAGTTGCGAAATTGATGGTGGTTGGGGTTTCGGTTCGATCCACAGGACCACTCTTGTTCGTCTTGCTCGGGTTGTGATTGTAAGGCAGAGGAGGAAGTCGATGCACTGGAGTCGGGCAATAGACCCTGAAAGCAGAGACCTGATCTTTGGGTTGAGGATTGGGGACTTGAACGGAAGGACCTGGTTCCTGACTCTTCTGCTCCGGTTGTTCTCTTCGCGGTTGCTCCGGCGGTGCAGTCACCGGAGCCCTTCTAAACCGAGCATGCCCTGTTCTCGGTCGGCCAAGTAAAGAGATCAATTTCTTGAAATGGGTCACCGCAACATCCGCAACGGCGTTGATTTCCACGGCAGGCTCCTGCTGCCTGAAAGAGGCATCTAAATTCCGGTCCCTCGGTTGACTTTTGGAGATCAATCGTAACAGTTCCTGAACACCTTGAATCCCGGCAGTCGCCGCTTCTCTCATAGCACTCTCCTCCATCTTGTTGGCTGCAAAACTATCACCGCTATAACCCATCAACTCCACCGCCATATCTCCAACACCATCCAAGAAAACCCCGACCTTTGATTCTTTGTCTCTAACTCAGGACCCAATTAATCTATATATAATACAAAAAAGTGAAGAAGAGGGAAACGAATTGAAATAAATCAAGGAAAAAAAAAAAATGCAAAAGTAAGAGAAGGAATGTGAAAGATGATGAAAAAAGAGGGGAGAGAAGGATTCGAGTCAAAGAGGTGCCCTCATGATGCAAGGCATCGGGTCAGTGACCCGTCGTCCTGTAAATATTGGCGTCAAACCCTTAAGCAAATGGGTTGGCTCCACGTGGCTAAATTTTTGTCAGGATGTTGACCAGATCTCTTTAACAGTGGGGCCCAGAAGGGGATAAAAGGAGTTGGAGACCGTGCGAAATGATAAGGTCAAAAGGTTGAGATTAGCCGTTGGATTGATGACTCGGTAAAATCGGAGGGAGAGAGTGTGGTTGGAGACAGTAAGGTATGGTTGACTTTAACAGCTTTTGATGCAAGGGAAAAATAAAATTAAAAAGTCGTTTGTGGGACCCAAGGGGTTCTGCTTTTACCGGACACCGGAAGCAGCGTCGAAGTCTCAACCTGCAAGTCACATGGGATTCTTTCTTCAAATAAAAGAGAGCTGGTTTTTCTTTTCTTTTTTTTTTTTTTTTTCTTTTTTTTTTTTTTTCTCATTTTTACTTTTGAATTAAGACTTTTACGAGTGGCCCACAGCTGTATGATTAAATAAGGGAGCTATCGTACCGTTAGATTGCAACCCAAAATGTTGCTATCACATGAAATGATATTTTTAATTTTTATTATTTTAACAGAATTTTTAATTTATAAATTTTTTTTTTCACATTTTTAAACG